ATTACGATCATCAATCAAATTATTATATTCTTGTTTTTTTCTCTCAGAGTATTTGATCAGGGTTTGGATTCTTTCTACATCATCAATATGATTACAATGACCTCTTCCGATTGTAATACATTTATAGCAATTTAATCTGAATTCTTTACAAAGTTAGTTTTAACAAACTGTTTCTATCTCCTTTTAATGATCATCTTGTAAACAATGTAACTTTTGAATCTATTGCTCATTCATTTTTATATTTTATAATGAAAACGGATTCATTCACACTCTTTTTTTCTATTTATTATTATTCTATTAATGTTCAATTTGATAGGAGTTGGGATTGAGTTTATAACTATAACTATGTCGAGAGAATCTTCAAAAATTTAATGAAAATACTTTGAACAATATTATAGATATTTTGTAATATATAATTAATATATCAAACTTAAAAAGTTTTCTTTTAAGTACATAAATACTATTCAATATTAGCATTTTCCTTGATTAGTATTATTTTAGCATAATGCTCCACCATTTGATCTTTGATTCTAAAATTACATTACTTTATCTATTATATGAAAATTCAACTTTCTAGGCTAAAGATATAATTGCTTTAAATCCTTCTTCTGTATTATCGAGCTCATAAAATTATAGGCTATAACGTCAAGATACTTTCTTTTTCTTACTTATTAATACAATTAAAATAAATTTAGAAATTGTGCTTTGCCCATTTAATATTCTTTCAATTGTTCTAGTAAAGAAAAGTAAACTTAAGATTTATTTTAACTAAAAAAGTCATGAGAAGCGATATGTTCATATGTTATATTAAGAATGGCTTATTTAACAATATGATAAATACCTTTACTTTTATGTAATTTTTATTTGAAATAGTTGGCTAATTTAACTATGATATTGAAGAAACCCTATCAGTCAGGATTATTTAGGATATACATCTCTTACGAACAGCTTTAATATTCGATGATACTCCTTTCAAATTAGATAAATTGAGCTCATTACACTTAAAATATAACATTAGGCAAACCATATGAAGGATAAATTTAAGTTAGATATTTTTGACTCATATCATAAATCTCTATTGTTTTAGATAATTCCTCAACAAAATTAGAATTTACTTTTTGCTACTTTAATTAGAAAATAGATCAAATTTTTATTTTAAATTATTTTCATAATTTATTTATGTATTTTACTTTTTCTTTATGTTTGTAGATATAACTTTTATTTCAAGAAATATTGCATTTTTTGTTGTAATAAATATTAATTCAAATACACAGGTAGTTATATTTAATTTAATAAGTATATCCTACCTCAGAAAATTTCATTACTATCTTATACACTTAAACTAAGAAATTTAGAGGAAATGCTAACTGTATATCTCTTATGTTTTCTCTCAACTTTTATGAAAAACCTGTTAGTATTTTTAATGATGACATAAATAAATATGTGAATATAAACTGCAATCTCAATTTCTATAAATATTTATTAAGACATTTCATTTTTTTAATTTGACTTAAAGTTAACTTTTTTAACTTAGCTTAATTTAGGATTAAAAAAGGATGGAATCTTGATTATTCAAAAAATTTAAAAAGTATTTGTTTATCTTGTATTGAGTGAGTATTTTCAAAAAATAACTAATAAACTTTTAAATAAAATATACAGTTTTTCAGGCTACAATTATAGTTTTATATTTTTTCTTCTAAATTAAGAAATTAGAATAATGTAATTGAAACTCTACAATCCATTATTTACATTAAAATAAATAAACACACACACACTTTCAACTTTAAGTTAACTCCTTCAAAGATTGATATTTAATCAAAAATTTTCATAAATTTCAGATCAAGCTCTAAATTAAATTGCTAATTTTGAGTATATCATCTATTTTAATATCTTCTTTAAGCTAATCTTAAGCCACAATAAAATAAAGTATAGAATAACTTGGCAATTGATAACCAATTTTAATAATTAAAAGAAGTAGAAGTGAAATTGTGGAAGTTAATCGTAAGAGATTCAGTTAAGAGTTTGACTTAAGAGTTTTATTTATTTTTTTACCTTTGTAGCTCGTTTTATTTCAATAGGTTCCAAATGAATCAAGAATCAAAAATTTTAAATTTTAAAGTTTGATTACT